AAAACACACTCATTTTAAACAAAGAACCCAACATAAACAAACGAAAAATCAAGGAATCCATCTTAATTGAACAACCCTACTCTAAACCAACACCCCGGGGTGCCTAGATACCTCTTCTTAGTTTCGCAACAGTTCCGGTCATGTGACTTCTTTGTTCAATACAGTATATAATATATCCTTGTCAGTGTAAATTACTTGTACCTGATGATGACAAAACCTTGTCGAAACGTTATACATTTGCTGTTATGTTAAACTTATATTAAAGTTTTTCTTCATTACCCATTCAAGCCGTCTCCAGCCAAATAAACTAATTGCTTTGAAAAGATGTGTATGCTTATCGTTAGTACTTAATAGTAGGTATCGTGATGAAACAAAATGGCGGTTATAAAAATCGCCCGTTTAAAACCACCTTTAAAATGTCTGAATATTAACAATGACTATTTCACAGTATTGGCTGAACAACACTAAAGGCTTATTGTACTTATAAAGCCGCCTAAATTGTTATATACATGTTTATTGAGTGAATCAAAATTTCACTATTTCAACGAATTTTCATCTAAGCGACTTTTCCAGACAAACATGACGAACGTTATCGTTTTAATATTTTTCGCAAAACTCTTCCGTCCCGGGGCCTCAAATATTTCCTTCTTGTACTGAAAAGGTTACCAGTATATATATATTATACATATATATAAAACGGAAAATGCGCTAACGGCATATAATTAGATTTGAGGGTAGGCTGGTAGAAATCCTGATGAGTAGTAAAATCAAATCAGACCTACGCGCGCTCCACGTTTGATATGTTTGTTATGAATTTCGCGCAAAGCTACACGAGGGCTATTTGCGCTAGCCGTCCCTATTTTACCAGTGTAAGACTAGAGGGAAGGCAGCTAGTCATCACCACCCACCGCCAACTATTGGGCTACTCTTTTACCAACGAATAGTGGGATTGACCGTCACATTATAACGCCCCCACGGGTGAAAGGGCGAGCATGTTTGGTGTGACAGGGATTCGAACCTGCGACCCTCAGATTGCGAGTCGAATGCCTTAACCACCTGGCCATGCCGGGCCCCCACGTTTGGTATCGCTGTCGCACAAAAACATAGCTAATGAAAAGGAAACAAATAAGTATAAGAAAAAAATAAATTTTATAAAGACAAGTAGGGATCGATATATACATAACTTAGCTAGCTATAGAAATATAGAAAGTTTTAATGCCACAAAAAATATTGAAACAATAAAGTCAAAACTACAAAATCTGAGTTACTTAAAATTAAATATAAAATATTCCTACTTTGGTTCAGACTAACATACTTACAGTAATTTGCCAAAGTAGGAATAAACTTTTTTTTAATATTAAATAACTAATTTTTTGTAGTTTTGTCTTTATTGTTTCAATACTTTTTGTAGGGTTAAAATTTCTATATTACTGTAGCTAGTTAGGTTACGTATATATTGATCTCTACTTGTCTTTATAAAATTTATATATTTTTTATCATACTTGTCTATTTAATCCATATGATTTATCTATTTACACCCATCATTACTTTTAAGTGAAGTTTAATAATCCCGACGGTTTTAAGGGTGAGGACTTTTCTGTATTACACATAATATGCAGCAACCAATACGTGTAATAATACAGTACAAAACTCCACAAGTTAAGAGCTAAAATGCATCGGTTTGTCTGTTTGTACACTTGTCAATTTATTTTAATATCTTGCAGCCAAGCTTTGTAAAGTTTTAATAACGTTCATATATTTTATTTAAGTTTTGTAACATAAAAAAAGTATATTTCTTGGACGATCTAAAGTACGTTGATAAGGTACTCGAATATTACTAATCGTTTTAATACCTAGAATTACGAGAAAAATGTATTAAAGAAACTTTCAAAAACTTGGAAGAAAACTGAAAATCATGTGTTCCTGGTCCTAATTACCTAACCATAACAAATGTTGAGTTTTCCATGTACCATATGAACGTTGCCTGTACTCTTGCCCATTGACACACAATTTCTTATCCTTTTCCCAGGTATAATTCGAACCACCAGGCGGCGCCTCGATCGGGAAACCCAAGAAGAACACGTTCTAGAGGTAAGGAAAAGAACTGATGTAAATGATACACAAACAAACACACAAACTTCTATGTGTGTGATCATCTCCTTACGGTTGTAATCTTATGAAAGTATTTCTGTCTTTTTAAAAATCAGATGCAAATTATTGCAATGACTATATTTTCTTATTTGTATAATATTTACCATACAACTGAACCATGCATTACAAAATGCCGGTCGTCTGCAAAATGGAAAACGTAGTTAATAATTTTATTAATCGAAGTTTGACAAATGGCGTAAAGATCTTGGAAGTTTGACAAATGGCATAAAGATCTTGGAAGGTTGACAAATGGCGTAAAGATCTTGGAATGAATTTAAAAAAGAAAAAAAAGCTAAATCTTCACGTAAAAGTTGCAGCTACAAAAAGATGAGAAGACAGCCATTTTTTGATAAGCATCATTATTTATTTACTTTCGTGTTAATGTGGGTAGAACACAACGCGTTCAGCCTTTTTCTTCTTTTCGGTTTCCATGGAAATTCAAACCTTGCTTACGTTTATTTTGAAGATTCATCTCCTGGATTTTTTTTCCACTTACAATAGAAGCTTGTAAAAATTAATGATGCTGTCACCTTACTAGTATTCTTTCATTGCCCAATGCTTCTCATCACTATCACTGTCCATCTCTTCCTCTGGTTTTCTCGTGTGTTAGCATAATTATATTAACACTTCTCTGATCTTTCATCCGTTATGAGGGAGAAAGCTCGTATTATCAACATGGGGTTAAAATTAATCTAATCTCTCAACTGTTAGAAGAGAGAAAGCTTATATTATCAACACGGGGTAAACACTTATATGATCTTTCAACCGTTAGGAGAGAGAGAGAAGAAGCTTGTGTTGGTATTACAGGGTTAATACTTATCTGATCTTTCATTCTAGATCAAATTGAAAAGATAAAAAGTTATGATTTTGTATACTTTATCATTTGTGTCGTTACCTATCTTGAGAAGATATCTTTCTCACTCTACAAACAATCAAAATATCAGTATAGATATAAGGCATACTTGGACATATGTATCATATCATAAGTCAGTATAACTATCTGAATATATGGTAAGTATATACCACAGAATATGCTAATTTAATGGTAATATGCCTTTACAGGCTTATGGGATGCTTGAATATATGTACCATATTGTGCGTCAATATATTTAAGATCATATTTACTACATTATACGTCAGCATATCTATATGGATAATAGTAAATAAGAATGTATATTTCACGGTTTATATATATATATTTTGCGGACTATTTTATATTTCGGCGAATAGCTGATACATGTTATATAATACACACACATACCCACAAATATACAGGTGTACCTAGTACCTACAGCACTACCTAAACTATTCGCTCAATCTGCGAATAACAGTTAATTACAGGGTATTAAAAATGCGCCAAATGAAACACTTTTATTGAATAAACATAAAATGTGCAAATTGTATTTATGAGGCCCATGTATTTGTTCAAGAATTCATCTATTTATTTTTATATGCAGGTAGTCACGGCCTCTTTTTCAAAACAGTCGTGGTAAGCAAATTAAGTGGATCTCAAATATTAAATTTCAAGATAGTTTGAAATAACGTTCGTAATGTCTTTGCCTTGTCATTTAGTAAATACAGTTTCTCAGTGAAAAAAAATAAAAAAATTAGTCACTCCAATTTTCAATTTGTGCTGATATAAAGCTATCAAATTATTTTTCTTTTCCACGAGGTCTGCACATGTTTTACTGGGCGCCTCCATCTTGAAACTATCTGCAATTAGTTGCTGTTCGCAGCAGGAACTGTAATAGTTCCAAGCACTGTTCGATATTTGATTATATGGCTTTACACAAAGACCAAAACAGCTGCATCTCCTGTTCTCCTTCGGTTTTTGCCTGTTTGGCATTTCTGATTTTTGCAATTTGTTCAAATCGTTTTACACAAAGATAGAAGCAGCTGTCTCACTCTTTCTCTTTCTTTCTTTCCTTGATTTCTATTTTACATTTCTCAATCTGAGCAAAATAACATTTCATTTCGGTCTTGGATAATTTTGACATGCTCAAACAGCGAAACGGTTATTTTTCCGTTGAATGACTAAATCCTGAGATTGTATAGTATAGTAAAGCTAGCTTGATCTATCTGATGATTTAAGCTATGTATATACCTTTAACTTGTATCTGTTAAAAGTCATATTATCACGATATTTCAAGAATTGTAGTTCTTTGGTTTCGAAAAGAGAGTTGATTATTTGAGGTTATAGTGAAGAGACTTTAAAGATTCGAAAAAAAATCACAAGGAATACAAAAATCTAAGCCTACAAGAAAGTCAATTGTGTCACGGTTTTGAACGGATCAGACGAATTTCTGAGAGTAAAAAGTGAAGTAAGATTAAGGTAGTATCGTCCAATATTGTGTACACTTGTTTAGAAGTGGGTTTTCAGGATATAAACACCCAACTGCTCTAAAGATAACTATCGTTACTAACTTTCCACCTCATAAATCGATAATATGAAGTAAAATTTTATAATCGAATATTTGATGTCAGATTATATTATTACTGTCAACTTCTTAGCGTGAACTATAACATTCAAATATAACCTTCCTGGTGATGACAAAACCTTGTCGAAACGATGTACATTTGCTGTTATGTTAAACTTATATTAAAGTTTTCTTCATTACCCATTCAAGCAGTCTCCAACCATTATTAAATATAACCTTCGTTTTACTTCTTGAACTTCATGGCACCACTTGTTCGTTATGCAAAGAAAACATTTTTACAGGCGTCTGAAGAAATTATACAAGACATATCTCGCATATGTGCCGAGGGGACAGCTACCCCAGCAGTTAAAAAATTTAAGCATTGGATCACGGATGTGCCTGTACAATGGATATCGAAACTGGTTTGATACATCGTATTAATAGACATACGCAAATCTCAAAGCATATCACTTATGATATGATAAAGCTTTAAAGTTACTTTAAAGAATATTAGGTATTGTTAAAAAAAACAATAACAATAAGTGTTCATATGGAATTCCCGAACTTTGACAAAAAATAAAATATATACAGTTAAAACAATCACTTTGACGTTTTAAGTTATATTTTTTGTAAAGAATAAAACGTAAACATACAGCTAAGGAGTGTGTTAGGTTAACGTACACATACTGCTAAGGAGTGTGCTAGGTTAACGTAAACATACTGGTAAGGAGTGTGTCAGGTTAACGTACACATACTGCTAAGGAGTGTGTTAGGTTAACGTAAACATACTGCTAAGGAGTGTGTTAGGTTAACGTAAACATACTGCTAATGAGTGTGTTAGGTTAACGTAAACATACTGCTAATGAGTGTGTTAGATTAACGTAAACATACTGCTAATGAGTGTGTTAGGTTAATTATTTCTTGGCAGCTTTCTCTATTTAATAATTATCAATATATTATCTGGAAAGATTTATTGGTGTTTTGGCGACGATTTATAGCATGTCGCTACGGAGGTATAAGGCATCCACGACGGGGAGTCAGTGCATAAATTATCGCTATTTAGATCTGAGGTGCGTACACTATAAAGGATATCAAATTTTTAGGAATAATTTCGTTCTTAGTATTTTCAGAGCGTTTTATATAAACTCGATCTGGTTCTTTATAAACAACAGTTTTGGATATTCTGAAATACAGAGTAAAAGTTCCTTATAAATGTTTATGTTATTTGGTGAACAATCTTATTAACCGGCATTATTGAGAAAATATAAATAGCGACATGAAATAATAAAAAACTTTAATTTGACTCCTTGATGTTTGTAAAACTTTATGTGTCTATTTCTTTATATTGTAAAGTTATTGTTATCAGATTTATTCTCTCGTCTAGCTCGATTTTCTGTTCTGATTTAATTTTGGAAATTTAATATTTATTCGTTTGTCCACGCTTTCAAGGCAGCAAAGGGCAGCAGCTGTGAAATTTCTTTATTGTTATACTTACAATCAAAATCTGTCTTTAATATGCTCTAATGAGTAATACATAGTCATTTTACAGACATTAGGAATCAACAGAAGTTGTGTGTATTGCGTGACGTCTGGAATGTGTATTTAGTTACTATAGTAAGTAACTGAGTGTCTCATAAACGAAACATAAAAAAAGCTGTGTAAGACAATAGAACAATATGATATGTAACAAAGGTTATTAGTTTTACTTCATGTAAATAAATGAAACGATTTAGCAACTTAAATGTCTTTAACAATGGACGCTAATATCTTTAAAGAATATCTATTTAGAAAAACCAAAGTTTCCTAATTACCCTACTACCATACTTAATATTAAAGGTTCTTGGAATGGAGAAACCATAAAAATTAACTAGCTGTTTACGAATATCAGATATATATACATATATGTCATCCAATCATGATGACTAGTATTGAATATATTTTATGGGCACACAAAAAGGAAAACACATTTATAGTGACATATTCAATATCGTAAATTGACGAAATTTTAATTTCCAAAGAAGCATGGCTTCATTTATGCAGATTCTAAGCAAAAACATTAAAAATAATAAAAATGTGGAATTATTACTTTCATTAGTAACAAAAGTCAGTTAAAGCTAGAAGCTATATCCATCGCTTTTAATGTTTATTAAATACTTCCAAGAAACTTTAACTAATATTAATTACGTTTACATAATAATACTGAGTGATGACAGAGAAGATCGCGAATTGTGCGAAGAAGATTGCTTACTTTTTCTGATTAACGATACTGTTGGGATTTTCAAATGGAACTGGGTTTTTCTGCTTCTAAATATCCCTGAGTCTAGATAAATTATTTAAATGGTGCTGGTATGTGTATATACATACATATATATATATATGTTCTAGTGTATTGCAAAACTAATAAACATTACGAAATATCTGACTCCAGGCACTTCTTCAGGGACAGAGAAGTCCTCTGATTAGTACTATTTGTTCAGTTACTTGCATCTTAATTCAATATTCCAACACCAGTTTGTTTTCCAC